TTTTTTTTGCCTGGATTACTGAAATGCATCAGGACTTTATGAATATTGATAAATTAGGCAACTGACTTTTTTCTATGAACATCACAATGAAAAGCGTTTAAATATTTAGTCAATTTTATGTTGCTCTAAGATGAGGTGAAACAACTTTATAATTAATCTTCTTTTTGTGTGTTTTTTTATTTTAAATTATTATTTTAATAAATCATCAGACACCACTCTAGCAACTTATAGATGCTAAAGTAAGAAACTAAAACAAGGAAAGCAACAATTTCTGTCAACTTGCAATAACAATACTGAAGTAATATGAAGCTGAATTACTAACGGTGCAGGTTTTTCCTCATGTTTTCGCTGATGCTGTTTAATTGTTTGCAGACTGTTGCTACAAACGTTGCTCTCAGCATTATTATTGAACAAACCACGTTAAACACTGTAATAACTGTAACATAAGAATCACATTGTTGCATTTAAGTAGCTTCAGACAGAAGTCTAAAATGGTTTGATTTTCAAATCAATTTTATTTGACATAAAATTGAATGAATATGTATGTCTGAATTATGATAATTTTTAAGTTTATTTTTTCCAAGTTTCTTAAAGGTAGAAGGTAGATCTCTAACAAAGGTTAGAAGAAAATCATTTGACTGTTCACAAAGTTGCTGGTGCAGTGTGCCAAAACCTAATGAAATAAAACATTTTGTTTTTAAWAGATGGGTTTCTGGTTTTTGGCATWAACTGTTTTTTATTGTTGATAGGTCAAACTTAACCTCCGCATTTAGGGAAAGTACATTTACCAAAAATGTTAATTGTGGGCAATTAAGTAAACAACCCAATTTMTAATTAAGTCTTCTGAAGTAATGCTGAGAACATTAGCTGTTTTAATTCATCATATTTACTCATGTTCGTCAGAAGCCAGAAAAACGTTCTAAGACAAACTTCAAGTTTCACCTTCTCTATAAATGGTGAGATAGTGTGGGTAGGGCTTAATGTGACACAAAGATACACTTCCTCTTCCCTTGATGGCGAAAACATTGGCCAACCTCCACTCTACTGGAGGAAGTTTTTTTTTCATCTGAGCTCAGAGCAGTGTGCGGATAATTTATTACAAGTGTGCCTCTGAGTGCACATATTTTGATGTAAATTTTCTACCGATTCAACAGTATTTTTATTTTATTTATTAATTTTTTTAATGGTGTATTGCTCAGTGAACCAGGTGCGGAGGATGTACCACTGCTGTGTTTAAGGTCTGGCTGCTGGWACGGTGAAAGAGAAGAAATGGAAGAACCAGGGTCAAACAAAGATTCTTCTCAAGGCACAGGTAAGCCTGAAGAATGTCGCAGTAGATTTGAGCTTGTTATAGTTTATACATTTTAATTATTTATTCATATTTGGGTACTCACCATGCCCACATGCTTATAACTCTTTGTGTGTGATCAGTTGGCTACAGATATATGTTAAATATATGGTAAAAGGTTTTTAAAGTGGTAAAAAAAATCCCTTTTTGTGGTTACTGGAAATCTGACAATGCAGTAATGGATAACGACACTGGTTATGCTTCTGGGTGCATGCACATGCTGCATGCGCAAAACAGCATGACAATGTGCACGTCAGAGAGTTGRTGGTGCTGTAAATCATCGTACTTGTCAAAAGGAAGGTTAGTGAACTTCCTGAACACGCTTCATTTTTAACACACTCTAGTTCTGTCTTTTGTGTTTGACTTCTGAGTATCTGTTGAACAAGATAYGATTATATGATCATTCTCTATAAAAGCACCATCATGAGGAGTGCTAATTTACACTCTAGTACAATTTTTTTGTAAATTACATAAGTATTTTTTATGCATCTGTAATTTTACTTTCTTTATGAATTTATTGTGGCAGTTAAAAATAAAAAAAAATGTCTTTGAATTTCAATTAAACATCTTTTTCTCATTCTAGTTCTTTCACTGACACACCASTGGTGTAAAAAAATACAAGGACTCTGTGTGCGTTATAGGACATGACACAAATTGTAAGCAGGATGTGGTTGACCAAAATGGAGGTGTCTCTGAGAGAGGGAGATTTTGTTTTCTTATTTGTTCCTTCTGTTGTAATCTACTGGGTTTTAACAATTTGGTGTGTGAGCAGGTAACATTTGAATAGTATGAACACAAAAGTTTGAGTTTATATCAGCAAAAACCATTGTGTTGTTTTGCATTATATTTTTATTCAGATTCAGTCTTCAACAATCTTCTCAGAAATTTTAAGGAAATGCTGTTATAGTTTAGAATAGGAACTAAGAATTTTTTTTAGCTCCGTCTTAATCTTGATGTGAGTTTTAAGTGTGAGTATGTCATGTGTTTGTCATTAAGTTCAGAGGCAGAATATTTATCACCAATGTCATTTTAACAATTAATAATACAATAATCTTATAAACTCTGTTCACATAAAACTAAATTAAAAAGGCTCCTCTGTCCAGATTGTGTTTAGTGGCCAGGATTGCACCCTTTGAATTGTCATTTGCAATGGTCTATGTACGACAAATATAGAATTTTTTGCTTAATGTTAGTATTTTCATTTCATTTTTCAGAGGTGAGGAAGGTGAAGTCTGAAACCAAGCGATACAGTGAAATCTTCAGAGATTTTGATAATCTTGATTTATCGTTTATTCCTTCGTAAGTATTTTCATATTTACAAATGGTTTAACTGCTTGTTTTATTATCTTTACTCATCTGCCTTAATCAGTTTGACCTCAAATCTGCTTAAAAAAACCCACAATGATCAGTGCAATTTCTTTTCACGTGACTGGTTTCGCTAATCATTACAGGTGCAACAYTTCACTTTRGAATATTTGTGAACTTAAAAAGGACATGTGCAAAATCCACTTTTTTAGATTTTAAATGCATTTTGTGGTGTACTTGGAGTCTCTAGGAGTGCAAAAAAGTTTTAGTTTCTCTCGGTGCTACAAAGATATTTTTATATTTTGTTTGAGTCACAGTTTTCAACCCATTAGGTTTTTTTTTTTTTTCTGAACTATTATGACACAGTATCTGTGATGGAACTACCAAATAAGGTCTGGACTTACCAGCTATAATTTTGTTGTCTTCATTCTCCTCTGGCTCTGGATCAGACTCTGGCTCCAACATGTAAGGCTGGATGGACGAGTCTTCCCATATTGACATCTTTTAATAAATATGAAAAATAAAACATTTCTGCGCCGCTATATAGCCAAAAAAAAAAAACTCTATCAAACTAGAATGGACCGCTCTGGAAGCTGGAGGGGTGTGAAACTCCTCGTTTGGATTTAAAGAGACGGCATCAAAACGAGTTGATCTGAGACACACCTCAGAAAAGGGGTGAAAGAGGGGTTTGTGGAGTTACAATAAGGAGGAATTCAGACCAAAGCATTACAGTTCACTTTATATAGACCCCAACTGAAGGACTGAAATGTGAAAAAGGATTTAAAAGTATGATATGTCTCCTATATGTTTCCTAAAATCCAACAATATTAACTCATCCTTTTATGAACAGTTTTCTTTTAAAATATTTTTAGTGCATATATTTTCAGCATTCTGTATCTTAATCTTCTCTGATTTGTGCTTTTTTACTTAGTTTTGAAACACAGCAATTTTTTTTCAAGTGACACTAAGCGAAAAAAAAAACCAAATTGTAAAATAGTGACGCTAAAATGTCAATAAGTGATAATAAGTACTTTTTTAATAACTGTGTGTAAGATCATCTGCTAATAGTCTATGCATATTTCTTGTTTTGGTTTCAGTGCAGACAATTTTACTTGACAAATCCCATTTTTCTGATCTTGTTAATTGAATGTGTTTGTGTTTCCAACCTAATGCTTTATATTCTCTGTTCAGTGAAGCGGAGGATTTACTGATCGATAGTGACTCCATCTCAGAGACCATCTCTACAGAAGGAGCTGAAATCATAGAGCAAAACGATGTACACGTAAGCTTTAATTTTGCTTTCAGTTTGTTGCTGAAATAGCTGATTTCACTGACACTATCAGCATGATCACTAAAAAATAAACAAAGTTTCTGTCATTTTTTTTTAAATTGTGTAAAGATGCATTTTGTTTACAGATTTGTGCTGAAGCCAGTGAAGTGGATGGAAACCAAACAGGTAAAATCTGTGAGTTTGAGCGAGTCAGTAAGAAGGAACTAAAACAGGATGTGATGGTGTATGACTCTGGTGTGGGTCATGATGTTATATAAAGCTTGATGCCCTGCTAGTTTCCTGTATATCAACACATACTGGAGTCTTCTGTAGGGCTTGTGGCCACTATTAAATTTTTTCTTACCCTAAAATAAACTACATGTGCATGATCTAGATTAGTAAAAGCAGCACAAGCTGCTGTAAGCAACACTTGTAAGTGTCTCTTTCAGTCTCTGGTTATTTTTGCGTACTTAGCTGTGAGTTACGGTTGCTATGCTATAACAGGATTAGGCTAAAGGGAGAGGATTTAAGCAGGGCGCAGATGCTCTAAGAAGAGAAAGAAAGAGGAAATGTTAGTGTTACACTGAGTTTCGATGGAAAGAAACAGAGGAAATAAAGAAAAAGAGCAGCGCTTAGTCACTTGTAAAGTTGCTGCTGTGTGCACCAGCTTCTGTTTGACTCAAACTGTTCATCACAAACGGGATGTGGRACAAGAGGCAGATAGTGTGTTGACAATAAAAGGAGATAGACCTGACTCATTGCTCCCATGAGATCTGTTATCTGCAGTCTGGACCTGATAGRATAATCTTCAATCCCAGTTCCAAAGAGTGTACGTGGTAGGACAAATTTTAAAATGGGTTGTTTATTTAAAAAAAGAAAAAAAAAGCATTAGAAAGTTATGAGATTTACCA